CATGTGGTACTTACCGGTACTCAACAATGGCAGATTTTGGGAACACCCCATTTGAAATATTATTAAAATGCTATATGCATCAATAAACAGTTCCCAGTATTTGTTTTTGTTTTGTTTTGGTTTTTGTTTAATGATGGTCAAAAACTGACCCAGAAGTCAGTGAAAAGTCAGGATAAAGTGAGGGAATTTTTTGGTTTCTGATGAGTGGCAACTCTGTATTAATATTTTAAATAAAGTGAATTGCATGATTCATACAGTACTTTTCCTTGTTTTAAATTAGGTCCCTTGGGGTTTCCAACTTTGGTGTTCTTCATTTAGAGGAGATGGAAAAGGCAGGACTTCCTACACCAGCTGTCAATCAAATTGAGCTCAATCCTTTTTGGCGATTAGATGACATTGTGAGTCATTGCAGACAAAAGGGAATTGCATTAATGGGCTACTGCCCACTTTTTCGTGGCAGGAAAAATAATGACCCAGTGTTGGTTGAAATGGCAAGTAGGTAAGGCTCTCATAGTACTGTATTTAGCTCACTTATTTTATCATGAAATCTCAGTTCCAAAAAGTGGTTTGGATATAATTTCATACAGTTGAATCTTCCATAAGCGTCCAGCTAAAATGCAAAAATTAAGCGGTCATTTAAGGGAGATGGTTGCTTGCAAAAATCGAACCACAGGAGGAATAGAATAGGTCCAGACAGATCTAAATTTTTGGAATAGAGTTTATTATATGCAATTCTAAATTGCGATTTGTGGCTGTCATTTAAAGTTCTTTGCATACTTTGATTAGTGTAGTGCATACAGCGAACATTGAGATCAAACCATGCCTCAAGTAGGTTACAGAAGGATAAATACAAAACTGCCAATATCATCCAAAAAAGTGGTAGTGAGAGGTGCTTCCAACTTTATTGATTTGACTAGAAAGATTTCGGTATTTTGAATAGGTGGTAGCACGTGGCGCTTGATGCATCAGCTGTAATAATAACCACTTACATTTTGTGAACCTTGGCTTACTTTTGAATTTCTTCAAGAAGAGTTTCATTCATTCAAATTAGTCCTCAAAAACTCGACTTTGCCTCGTTGTTTTTATTTTTGTTAGTGTGAATGTTGTTGTTTTCACCTACTTCATGCTAGTCTAAACACTGATTGGTATTTGTTACATCACTGACGTCTTAAGTATTTGAAGAACCCCTAAAGCCGAATGTCGTGTTCTATTTTTCCTTTCACGTTTAGGTACAAGAAAACTGTTCCACAGCTTCTCATTCGTTGGAGTGTACAAAAACATTATATAACTATTCCCAAGTCAACTCAAAAGGACAGAATTATTGAAAATGTAGACGTTTTTGACTTTGTCATTACTGAAGAAGATATGAAAGTTTTGGTAAGTGTTTCGTGTCACGGACTCATTGGACGCTGTTTTTTTTACTCGAACAAACAGCACCCCTCCTGAATTTTTCTTTGCTATTCTAAAGTTTTAGAACTGAGATTTTGAAATAAGAGCTTAGTAGCCTCAGAGAACAGCTGACATTTTACTACGCCACCATGCAAAATGACGTCTGAGAAACGAGAACAGAAATTCCATACTGTTGACGCGTCACGTCCCAGATCTGGGTTGTGCTTCTGATTGGTTGAAGCAAATTTCGTCGTGACACGACCAATCAGAAGCACTAGCCACCTCTGCGTAGTGCAGCGTCATCAGTATGGAATTCCTGCGCTCGCTTCTCAGCCGTCATTTTCCTGTGGTGGCGTAGCGAAATGCTAGCTGTTCTCTAAGGCTGAGATCATTTGATACAACACTTTCATGTAACCAAGTGAATTAGCTACCGTGAAAGAACTTGAAGTCTGATCTATCCCAGTCATTACGCTCATAAACGATCAGGATCGCAGTTTACGTTTCTCTTCTAAATCGGGCGGTTATCCCAGCAACAAAAGTTTTCTTAGTGCCCAATCCCAGAAGAGTGGGTACAAGTCCCACTCGGGGGGGGGAGGGGGGGTACTCCCTACATAGGGAGGCTCCGTCCAGAAGGGGTACTGTTTTTGGGCTTCAGAATTAACACATAGAAATCTGTAATTACTTAAATAGGGAACAATGACCACAATTAGCACATCATGTTGGCAAGTAAATAGACCGTGCGCAGGTAACTAGTTTCCGTTAAGTGAGGTTGACGGTATATGAGAGTTTGTCACTCGCGACACAAAATTGTCTGTTGTCCGTGATAAATGGCGTCCGTAATAAGTGGGTTAATTTTAGATAAAATATGTGAACTTTTCGTCAGGGAAAACGAAAGTGCCGTTTTATACGGTAACGGGTGTCCGTAGAGTGGGATTTTACTGTATTTATTTTTTTATGCTTTTTTTTTTTTCACGTTACAGGACAACATGCCCACTGAGCAGTGTGCTTCGCTGCCTAACATCACCAACGCACCATGGAAAGGCTAACTTGACTTTGAATTAATTTCTCAATGTTGAATTGGCATTGCAATAAACGTAAAAGACATTAGTAAGTGTAAATATCTTAATCGCAACACAAATCGTAACAATTGACGACACTGTTTTTACGACGCCTACTGGAGACTGGACTACCATTTTATGTAGTCACCCTAGCCATGCGAAGGTCTAGCCCCTTGCGGGGCAAAGGAGTACAGCACGTACCTTCGTTTCCCAGTTATTTTAATAAAACCTTAATTATTGACCCTCGCCTCGGATGGAACCCACATAGTACCGCTCTTATACATCGCTGTACCGACTGAGCTTATCCCGTGAAATTTTACAGTATTTTCCTGAGCCGATTGCATTCAAGAAGCACTTAGGGGTTCTTAAGAACTCGTTTATCACCGTGCGTTCCAGATCGAATTCACTGGAAAAGTGTTGGCTTTTAAGGATATGGGACAACCGGAGTACTGTGGAACCTCGATTTAACGAAGTGCCAAGGGACTGGGGAAATTTGTTCGTTATATCGAGAGTTCGTTATATCAAATTAAAGGCTTCAATTTAACGAATTTTCGAAAAAACAACCAAAATGTTCAATATACTGAGGCATAGTTGACAATGAATGACAAAGCCCAGCATTCCCGGATCTGAACAATTACTGTAATAACATTAATTGTTCTTTAACACCTGTGTCTCAATGCCGAGCTGTATATTGCTACGGCACTAGAAACTCAAGAACAGGCAAACAAAACTGCTTAAAACTACTGTAGCCAAACTTTTTTTGATGAATTGAGACTGCACACATAAATTTTATCCTTTTTGGTCTGGTTAGCATTCATCTTTCATGTTGACAAGTAGGTATATTTTACGATTGCGCTTCTGCCTACCCACCCTGCCCCTCATTTATGTCTATCTTCAACCGTCCTCAATTTCGCAGTACCGCATGGGCTGACCTCCCAGATCATCTAAAATAAACTATACTGTATTGCACAAAGCTAGGAGTCTGCAAGTCTACCCTAGGTGCCAGAGGCTTTTCATGCGTGGTTTCCGGTTTCGGCTAAGTCTTTAAACCCGCTCCATTGGTCGTGTCGCGAGCAAGCGAAAAATGGCGGGGATAGTGAAGGGCAGAGCTTTTAAGCAGCTTTTCAAATACTTCAGTTCACCCACTACCCCGCCGAATTCCAGAAAAATGACAAATGTTAAACCGTCAAAATGTGCCGTGGAGGACTGTTTCACACGGCACGCTACGTTTTTTTTGTCTTTGCGTGCAGGAAACCAAGCGATTTTCCCCAACGACTACGAGACGGCAAAAGAACGAGAATTACAAGACGACAAAAGAACTTTGACAACATGTTAGCCAAACAAGTTTTCAAAATGAAACAAAAAGCAAACCGCGGTGATAAACATTAGGGAATAAACGCATTTTTGGAAAAGACAAAGACTTTAACTTGAATCTTCAGAAGTAATAAAGCGTTGAAAAACAACGGAAATTTAAATGTTTAGAATATAAAGTAACTAATCAAGGAAACAAAATATGACACATGGTAGGAACATTTACATCTAGAAGAAAAAGCATGCAAACTAAAAAACGTCACTGCTGACATTTCGTTTAGCGAGGATTTTAAATCCCTAATTAGCAGTCTCCTTTATCTTGCAGTAGGTGTCCGACCGTCCTCTAGCCAAAATTTCGAAATGGTCCCATTTCATGTTACAGGATTTGAGTACGCGCAATGATTAGACTGTTAAAAATGCCATTGTCGATTTGTCAATCAGTTTGAAGGGAAACTCGAAACGCATTTCCGGTCATTCGTTAAGTCCGTTGGGGTTCCAGAACAAGGATATCAGCGCTTTTTCGCGGATGTTACAAACCAGAATTATATAACGTTTGCAACAAGGCTAAGGCGCAGACGTCCCTCCTGGCGAAACTTCCCTAGCGGCGAGAAGCGAAAAGAGACGGCTGTTTTCGCAGGCTGCACGAACCACTTGCTCATGATTTAAAATGTTTCTTTGTTCACGTTGCAGGACAAAATGCCTACAGAGCAGTGCAGTGCACTACTCAACATCACTAACTCACCGAAAGGCTAACTCAGTAAATAGACTTAAACGACAGCACAATTGTGAAGAGCTCGATACGAACGATTTTTTAGCCTGGTTTCTGCTATCGACTCGAGCATTTAATACTGAAACAGCAATATTTAATAAAGTGATGATAAGACTATGCAGTTACCGTATTTATTCGAATTAGCGCCCAACCTCGAATACGGTAAATGGTAGGAAGGAGAAATGTTTGCACTCCCTTTTCTGTGGGGACATTTTAATCCATTCACTACCAGAGTGAAATAGCTCACTTCGGAAAAGAGTGATAGCCTGGGACCCAAACTGCGCGCGCATCTATGGGATTATTTGGGGGGGGGGACGCGAATGTAAACAGACATGGCGGAAAGCTAAGTGAAATGTTTCTGCGAGGTTAAAACAGCTCAAAATAGCAAAACGGAAGGTGGAATTGAGAGAAAAAAGAAAACATGAAAATGTAAAGCTGAAGGGAAAAGATGTGCCTGCGGCAATTTTACCTCGAGAAAAAACAGAAGAATGCACCGTGAAACAGCTTCAGAGATGGCTTCTTTGCCGTGGAGCCAAAATAATCGGAAAGAAAACGCAGTTCGTACAAAGGTAAGTACGCGCGAACTGGGAAGTTCCTGAAGTTATTTGGGCAAAAAAACACAACTATCATGTCTTGTCATAATTCAAGGTGTAAGTGGCTGCTCGACTTGTCCCCCAAACAATCCCATAACTGAGTGCGCGCTTAGTTTGGTCCCAGGCTATCACTCTTTTCCGAAGTGAGCTATATGGAGTCTTCTAAGGTTGTTCTAACTAATGAGTGATTGGAAGAAATCTCATAGTGTGACCATTCAAATGAAACCTCTTCGCCAGTACTTTCTCATGGCACTATTTGTTTTTCAACATTTTAAAAAAGGGAGAAATTATTGTTGAATTTTGATTTTGGCTAATTTTGGCAGTGAAGTACCCTGCGCGAGGAGGTTTCTCTCTTGCATGGCTTTTAGCGTTTACGAAGTCATTCGCGGGTCTTGTCTGTCGCGTAGTTGGTTTGTTTACGCCGTATAAAACAAACCAACTACGCGACAGACAAGCCACGCGAACGACTTCGTTAACGCTAAAAGCCATGCAAGAGAGAAACTTCTGCTCGCAGGGTAGCAGTGGAGGGGTTTAAAGAAGATCTTTTGTTAATTGAAAGGAATTGCTGTCCTTTAGTCAAGTTCGAAATGAAATTGATGCAGTCAAGGATTTCCTCATCCTCTCCAGGGACAATTGGTTATATCCCGTAATACTGTACAGCATTGCTCTGAAGGTAGTGCATCCTGTTGATGAAAAAAAGAGAGGAGAAAGGAAACGAAAGTGGAAGTAAAAATCAAATGAACATAATTTTGGAAATTAGTATGTGTAATCAAATGGTGACGAGTGAAATTAGGGAATAATTTCACGCGCGTTTTGTCCAAATCCTAATAATTTCCCGAGCCTTTTTCCCTAATCATTTGATTACCTATTAATATCATGGGTGACGAATTACGTTAGCAATCGAGGATTGTTGACTTGTTTATCCTGGATCGTATCGATCGATCGTGAACTCCACTCTCTCAAACGTTTAGCGCCGAAATTTGGCTTAAGTTTTCAGAAGTTTTCGACAAAATACCTCTAAGAATCCTTCTTGATGTGCTCTTTCGTGTGTTCAGGTTTTCTAAAGCGTCTTTTTATACCCTGGCATCTTCATTCATGACATTTTAAAACTTAGTCGCCATCTTGAAACGGAGACGTACGGAAAGTTGCCATGGCAATTTTGTAATTTCACATGTGAAATTACAAATTAACGCTGAAATTTCGCGCCAAAATTAAGGAGTAATTCGTCACCTATGATATTAAGTTAAAAATTTCATGTCTATTTTTACCACAAGGTGATGAATAATTAGTGATTTTTATCTTTTTAACAAGCCTATCATTGTGGGATATAGGTCAGGTCCCCAACTATATGAACGTATGAGGAGCATGGTAATCAGTGACCAAGTTAAGGTCACTGATTAATTAACCCGTCTCGGACGAATAATCCGTCCCTAGTGTGAAAACGGCCTCTAAGGACCTTTAAGATCCGAGGTCGTTGACAGCAGCAAAAATGTCTCTTAAAAAGTAATTCGCGTTCTTCATGGCAAATTAACCCACTTTACTTTGTCAAGTGTGGTGAATTCCTGAGAACCGGCCATATTCAAGATCAGAAAGAGAGAGAAAATTTTGGTCGTGGCTTGTTTAGGTCCACCATATAACATAAAACAAGTCATTTTCTCGTCCTAGTCGTGCTGTGAGGGCAAAGAAATGTACCAACTCTGCACGTGTGCTGCACGTGCAGAGTTGTTGCTTTGCTTATTCAGCCTATTAATTTTTTGGCGTTGCCGTCCTCGTCGTCCGAGCTTAAAGGTCCCTAAATGTATTAATTTTATAAAGGAGAACGTACCAGGGTTTTCATATCATCGTCACTGATAGAGAAGTCAAAAACGTCGGCATTTTCTTGGATCCGCTCTGGTTTACTTGACTTGGGAATAGTTATGTAATTTTTCTGTACACTCCATCGGATAAAAAGCTGCGGCACCGACTTATTATACCTGTCCAGGGTAAAGAAACAAAAACACAGGACAAAAAAATCAACACCGTGACTCTTAAAAAGCGATCGTACAAGTAAAGGACCAAGAATCAAACGAAACACAGATGAAATTTGGATTGGGAACTGAACACTAACTGAAAAGCGGACTAAAATCCGTTCTCTCTGCAAGCCCATCCTGAGATAGACTAGCTTTCCTACTTGCTTGATCTCTTGTGATCTTTAACAGTAAGGCGTTCACGGTAGCCTCTTTCCAGCACTCAAGTAATTTTTATTTTTTATTTTTCTTTTAGATTCAATCAGTCGTATTGAGATAAATATGTAAATGTTGATTTTTGTAAAGTCACTTATAATAGGGGTGAAATAGCTATAAAGAGCATGAAAGGATACCCCCGTCCACTTGCACCTGAAGGAGTTCCACTTAGCTAGCAAGTCAAAATAATGTGTATGATGACTAACGGTTTCTTTTTATCCAGGAAAGTTAGTTTAAACTCCAAGAATAAAACAGCAAGAGTTTTCATCCTTATATATAATATTGATTGTCGTTATCTGATATTGTTATATAGCTGGAAATTTTTTCCCGTGCAGCACGCGAGAATTTACCGCGCCTAGTTGCCTCGGTAATCTTTCCGAAATATAGTCATGTCATACAAAGAGAGAAAACAACAGTCAATAGATTACGGAAGGTAACCAAGCCCGGTAAATTTTCGCGGGCTGCATGGGAATTTTGATGTCGTGCTAAACTCGAGACAATAGGACATACCAAAGCAAAAAATTAAAATCTATCATAGCACTTCAATATTTACTCAATTTTGCGCCTACGTTAGGCAGCTTAAAATGTACACGAAAACCCGGCATTTTATAATACACCGATCAATGGCAGCACGGAAACAAAATCTATCGTCGAATTTTCGTTTAATGGCTGTTTTCGTGAAAGTAGCCTTAGAAATTACAAAAAGAGCTCGGCATCACGTTCTACCCCGACTCGCATGTTTTCATGTTCTTCGAAATTATAAAGTGTACAAGGGTCATTTGCACACCGAACAAGTGATAAAACCCTTCCGGAAACACCCAAAAAGTAGCCAATTTGTCGGCATAAAGTCCAGTCTTCAGTTCATGCATAATTTATAACCATTTTTTAGAACTTCCAATATATCTCGCAATTCCTCTCATAGATTTCTGTGAAACTTTGGCATAAGACAAGCACCCAAAGTATGCGCCGCGTAAAGCATTTCCAAAGTTCAGGTCGATGAGGGCTGAAATTCGATTTAAATCTAAAACTGTTGTGACGTCATTGCCACGTGATATTTATTCCGATCGCCCAAAACAATAATATCATAATAAAATGTGTTATAATGGTTTTACCATAGATATTGTATCGAACCACCTTAAGTGTTTAATATACCAGACTTTTTAACAACAAGTAATTTGCGAATACAGACGTCTCTCGTCACTCAGTTTACACCGGTTTGGACGTTTCGCAAAACGTTCCGAGCGACTGGAAGCGGCTGAGAAAAGACGGTATTGCTTGACTTGTTCAGTAAAATTAGATTACCTCTTAGCCATTTTAACAAGGGTGGGATCGTCATTTTTCCTTCCACGAAATATAGGACAGTATCCCATTGGGGCAATTCCTTTTTCTTTGCAGTAATTCACAACCTCTTCCAAGCGCCAATAGGGATTAAGCTCAATTTGATTGACTGCAGGAGTTGGTAGCCCCGCCTTCTCCATTTCTTGTAAGTGATTCACACCAAAGTTGGAAACTCCGATTGATCTGAATTGAAAAGAGTTTGCAAGTTTTTATTAGTTTAGTTCGTTGCACTTGAAGATCGACGTGTGTCCCAGAGACGATCTTCAGACGGATAGAACGTGTTGGACAATCCAAAATTCATTCAGACGAAGTTGACTGAGCCAGACCTCGAACTTTTCATGAATTTAACTCACTAATATAAGTTTGGTTCGTATCGTAAAAAGTTCGACGTTTGGCCTGGGCCTAAGCGACCAAGACGACGACGGCGACGACAAAAAGAAAATGGTTTTATGATCAAAACAACAGCTCCGCACATGCATAACACTTTCTAGTACACTTCTTTGACGTCCACTGCACAACTGCGACGTGAAAAATGTCTTATGGACAGGGTTCGCAAATACGCCAAATTTGGCGTATTTTACGCCAAAATTGTTCACTTCGACTCCAGGAATTTTCGGTAACAAACAGGGAGCCACTTCCACTCCAGAAATTTTTGGTAAGAAACACAGTTTTGTCCTTACCTTTTTTGCAACTGGTACAATTTAAGTTAATTGTAAACGTTACAAACCTTAATTAAATCATCGAAATTAAAGAATTATACTGCAGGACAAAACAGGAAGAGGGTAGTTTACTCGATATTTGAGCTTTCCAGGTCAGCGGACCGCCACAGCTACTTCGTGTATCCCTCACGATCCCTCACGATAGTGTATGCATGCCAGGACCACGTACTGGAAAGTCTGAAAATGGCTTTTTTCGTTGTGATAGTTGACTCCAAATATTCCAAAATGACTCCAAAAGTTGTGAAGCAGAAGTCACACTGACTCCACTNCCCGCCTTCTCCATTTCTTGTAAGTGATTCACACCAAAGTTGGAAACTCCGATTGATCTGAATTGAAAAGAGTTTGCAAGTTTTTATTAGTTTAGTTCGTTGCACTTGAAGATCGACGTGTGTCCCAGAGACGATCTTCAGACGGATAGAACGTGTTGGACAATCCAAAATTCATTCAGACGAAGTTGACTGAGCCAGACCTCGAACTTTTCATGAATTTAACTCACTAATATAAGTTTGGTTCGTATCGTAAAAAGTTCGACGTTTGGCCTGGGCCTAAGCGACCAAGACGACGACGGCGACGACAAAAAGAAAATGGTTTTATGATCAAAACAACAGCTCCGCACATGCATAACACTTTCTAGTACACTTCTTTGACGTCCACTGCACAACTGCGACGTGAAAAATGTCTTATGGACAGGGTTCGCAAATACGCCAAATTTGGCGTATTTTACGCCAAAATTGTTCACTTCGACTCCAGGAATTTTCGGTAACAAACAGGGAGCCACTTCCACTCCAGAAATTTTTGGTAAGAAACACAGTTTTGTCCTTACCTTTTTTGCAACTGGTACAATTTAAGTTAATTGTAAACGTTACAAACCTTAATTAAATCATCGAAATTAAAGAATTATACTGCAGGACAAAACAGGAAGAGGGTAGTTTACTCGATATTTGAGCTTTCCAGGTCAGCGGACCGCCACAGCTACTTCGTGTATCCCTCACGATCCCTCACGATAGTGTATGCATGCCAGGACCACGTACTGGAAAGTCTGAAAATGGCTTTTTTCGTTGTGATAGTTGACTCCAAATATTCCAAAATGACTCCAAAAGTTGTGAAGCAGAAGTCACACTGACTCCACTCATCAATAAAATTTGCAAACCCTGACTTATGGAGGATGTGAACATACGACGTCGAATTTTCGTTTCTCTTTTTTAACCTGATAAAAGCCTTTAGAATTCAACCTCCGGAAAAATCCCCTACATTTAAAAAATTCAGCGGGTCCAAGTAGACGTGATAAAGTTTCAGTCCCGTCATCGTCGTCGTTGCTTAGGCTCCCTAGCGTAAGACAACAACCCACGTTTCGCGACACCTTTCACTGGTTCCTCCGCGAAATGACGTCTGAAAAACGAGCAAAAAAAACCATACTGATGTCGTTTCACTACCCAGATCTGGGTAATGCTTACATTCTGATTTAATGAGGCAAATTTTCAACCAATCAGAAGCACTACCCGTCAGGACTACTACGCGTCACTTCTGGGTAATGACGCGTCATCAGTGTGGAGTTTCTGCAGTAATTTCGCGGGTAAACCAGTGGTGGCTTCGGGAATTGGCGGCTGTTAGGAATCACCCCAGGAAATACTTTAACTTCAACTTTATTCATTCAATCTCAATTTAAAATTTCACGATAGCTTCCTCCGGCGTATAGGAGAGCCTAATCGAGGCGAGGGAAGAGACACACAAATTTACAGAAAGGATTCCGGACGATCAAACTCAACCTACTTTTGAGATTAGATTAATATGGTTTTTCCAGGAAAGTTCATAATCAATCAGAACACCAAGGTGTTTGACAAAATCTTTCCTTTCTAAGGTACTCAATGCATCTATGGCAGGATCATAAGCTTTGATGGAAGGATTATATGTTAAACATTTCTGCCGAGGACGGAAAAGCACGTAATTAAATTTTTTGAAATTAAGGGTTAGCTTATTGGCTGAAAGCCAGTCACTGACATTACTTAGTTCAGAATTAACTATCTGTTCAAGATTATGGAGGTTCTTGTTTGCATTAATAATGCTTGTATCATCAGCAAATAAATAAAGCGAAAGATGCTTTGAAGAATTTGCAATGTTATTCACATACAATAAGAATAAAAGTGGGCCCAGCACAGAGCCCTGTGGAAAACCATACAAAGTTGTTTCACTGTTGGAGATATAAGAGCCATTTGAAGTGGTTTGTTTCCTATAGGTAAGGTAAGATTGGAACCAATCATTAACAATACCTCTGATGCCATAAAAATCAAGTTTTTGAAGAAGAATATAGTGATCAACAGTATCAGAGGCTTTTTTCAGATCTATAAAGAGTCCAGAGGTGAATTTACCACTATTCATGTTACTCTGAATTGTATTAACAATATCCAGAATTGCATTTTGAGTATTATGACCACCCCTAAAGCCATATTGGAAGTTCATCAATATATTGTGCTTAATGATAAATTTACTGAGTCTTTGATACATTAGTTTTTCAAATATTCTATTGAACATAGACAAAAGAGAAATAAACTGGTGATTGATGGCACAGGACTCATCATCATCTTTATAAATTGGTACAATCTTGGAAAGTTCTAGTTTGCTGGGATGTTTACCTTGGATAACAGATAAATTGTAAATGTTAGCAAGTGGCTGGCTAATAATGTGTTTGCAGCCTTTTAGGATTTTCACAGGACAAGAGAACATGCCATAAGACTTGTAGAGGGGCAAGGCCTGAATTTGGGCACTCATATCAGTGGGAATAATGGGTTCAAAGTTAAAAGAGTTTGGCAAATGGTTGTTAGCGAGATATTCATTAAATGAGTGCTTAGAAGGTGGTAGTTTGGAAGCAAGGTTATGTCCAACACTAGAAAAATGCTTATTAAGCACATTTGGGATTTCATTAGGGTCAGTTGAGAGACTACCATCGGGTTTTTTAATAATAGAAATTTGGTTCACTTTCTTCTTGGAGGAAGATATTAGGTTGTTAAACCCTTCGCAGGTTGCCTTCACGTTATTAAGATTTAGTTCGAAAAAGGAGTTGTAGTAATTCTTTTTACTTAAACGAGTTAACAATGATAATTTATTACGACACAATTTGTACTTATCCCAACCCACAGACCATCGTGGTATAACTTGTTTTTCTTACGTATAGAGGTGAGTAAGTCTTTGGTTATCCAAGGACATGTTACTTTTATGACAAGATCTAGATACTAAAAGCACCAAGGTCAGCAACTGACAACAGTGACTTGACAGCACTGTCCGGTTTGCAACACAACGGAAAAATCTGAAAGTACTGTTGCGATACAAGTTGTAAACTTATCTTGAGGACATGATGTATCTTGTACAGATGTTGCGACACCACCTGAGAGATTTAGAATCGCATTTACGGAAATGTAATATTCTCTGGTTAAGGTTTGAAAGAATAAAGGCCAAACGACGAATGAAAACCAATCTGTTAATCCACTGGTTTCCCTTTAAAATAACGTCTGAGCAACTAGCGCAGAATTCCCATACTGATGACGCATCACTACCCAGATCTTCTGATTGGTTGAAAATTTGCCTCATGCACTTAGAGGCACTAACCAGGTCTGGGCAATGTTGTGTCATGAGTATGGAGTTTCCGCCCTATTCCTCAGACGTCATTTTGCAGGGAACTGAAACCAGTGCATGTTGGTGTTGCAAAATGTCAGCTGTTTTCTCACGCTAATTTAGACCTTAATAGTTACCTTATTAGACCCTGTTCCTTGAGTTTCATCATGGCGCGGTAGCTGTCAACATTCTTCCCCGGCGCAGGAGAGTGGATGAGATACAAGTCCACATAGCTTAAACCAAGCCTGTATGTACATGTAATAAAAGACGTGGTCAAAACTTCACATTAAATATACAATGAAGGTCATCTGAAACACACTGACCTAGAATAGCTGTTGATCAGCGCATCCACAACCGCTAAGGGTACTCGTCAAAGTTCTTTTTACAATAGATGTCTCTTACGTATACATGTTTTATAGAGTTTTTGATCCCTCTGACGGCTTCTGCTATATAAACGTACTGTAGGAACCATTTAAAATCAGAAATGTCTAAGAGAAGGAGTCATTTTAGAAAGGTTACGTTACCAAGACAACGAGAACTTCGCCAACCTGCAAGCATTAAGGAGCTTTAGGAACGACAACGGCGACGGCAACGAGAACGTCAAAAATGTAATAGGTTTAGATTGGCAAAACAACAAATTTGCCTGTGCATCACGCTTTTTTGTACATTTCTATGCCATCACTGCACGACTGCGTAGTGAAAATGCCTAATTTCAAGTTTAATGGGGACGTAAACTAGCGACGAATTTTTCTTTCTCTTTCTAAACTTGAATGCGTTCCCCAAGAAATCAACTCCAGGGAAATTCGCCTACAATTGGCATTTTCAGTAAACTGGAGTGAACGCGACAAAGTTGGAAAAAACGCGAATTCAATTGTAAAGATCAGAGACGTTCTCGCTGCCGTCGTCGTTGTCGATGCTAGGGTTCCCCAATAGCTTTTAGGTGGGAAGATCTTCTCTTATAGCTGCCCTTCAAGAGGACATCTTACCCCCGCCTGTTAGATTTTTCTTTTTCTTTCCTAATTCCTGGTAGTTCGCGGCCAAGCCATCAAACCGTGCGCATGGGTTATTTTATCCTTGATATTTTAAGAACAGACCTCTGACCAAGGTAGAGAAAGTCTTAGGGTACATTCCTACAAAAGAAACCACTTCTCGTGGCAGTGGTAGCCTCGGACCAGGTCCTTTTTTACCCTTTTCCACACCAAGGAGCCTGGTCACTAGGCTGGTGGGTGCGGGCTCATTTTCCAGAACAGCGGCAAGTAATCACGCCGAACTGGTTCTAGGCTGTAGGTACGTGCATGTGAAAATTTTTTCCATACGACACAAAACGTGAAAAGGATAATAGTTACCTCTTCAGACTTTCATGAAAGGCTTTCAAGCATTCGTCGTATCCATGTGCATTATTCGTAAGTTTTGTGACCACAAAAATCTCTTCGCGCTTTACTCCTGATTCCGTGATTACTTGACCAACTTCGTCTTCATTTCTGGAAGGCGAGGCAACATCACCACTGAGAACTCAGAAACAACAGTGTGAAATGATCACACTTCTCTAATCTTCGATTTGTAACAATTTGGATAAGAAATAAAAGCCTTTCACAAAACGAATAAATACCTCTCAGAGAGCCAAAAACCGCTTCTTAACCAAAAGACATCAGGTGCAATTTAATTTAGTCACGTGTTCTCAAAAAGAAATTTTTGCTCGTGACGCAAAGTATTTTGTGAGGGATTAAGAAATTCAACCCCATCACACAACGAACATCCAAGACTCATTGTGTGAGCTCTTGTTAAAAATTAATGACAATCCAGGCAATATTGTGCAATGAAATAATAGGGTACATATGGAAGCAGAAAAAAAATTAAAATTCGAAAACATTTGGCTTACTTTAGCAGGTTAGCTTATTTTAGAGAAACGAAATCAAGTGTACATTGCGTAAAGCAAAATACCTCACAAGTAAGTGTATTCAGTTTTACCAGAAACTCATAAGGGGTTGAAACGTGTAACTCGCGTTCAATGCTCGTGAATATTCGTTTTGACCATATTTGGAAACCTTAGTGACGGATATCCATTTTCAACAAAATAGCTGCTGCGCGATCACCATGCAGATGTTTTAAGACAAGAGTTCTGCATTTCAAGGTTAAAAATACACCGTTAAAAGACAAAAAATGGAAAGAGAAAGTTCTTGAAAAGGATAATAGTTACCTCTTCAGACTTTCATGAAAGGCTTTCAAGCATTCGTCGTATCCATGTGCATTATTCGTAAGTTTTGTGACCACAAAAATCTCTTCGCGCTTTACTCCTGATTCCATGATTGCTTGACCAACTTCGTCCTCATTTCTGGAAGGCAAGGCAGCATCACCACTGAGAACTCAGAAACAACAGTGCGAAATGATCACACTTCTCTAATCTTTGATTTGTAACAATTTGGATAAGAAATAAAAGCCTTTCACAAAACGAATAAATACCTCTCAGAGAGCCATTAACCGCTTCTTAACCAAAGACATCAGGTGCAATTTAATTTAGTCACATGTTCTCAGAAAGAAATTTTTGCTCGTGACGCAAAATATTTTGTGAGGGATTAAGAAATTCAACCCCATCACACCACGAACATCCCAGACTCATTAAGTGAGCTCCTGTTAAAAATTAAGGACAATCCAGGCAATACTGTGCAATGAAATAGTAAGGTACATATGGAAGCAAAAAAAAAATTAAAATTCGAAAAAATTTGGCTTACTTTAGCAGGTTAGCTTATTTTAGAGAAACGAAATCAAGTGTACATTGCGTAAAGCAAAATACCTCACAAGTAATTGTATTCAGTTTTACTTCGTTTCTATACAATAACAGACAATTAGGCTAAACACAAAATACAGCACAAGTATGTTTTTTAATATAGTTATTTTGTGTCTCTAACTATAAAAAGCTAAGCTCAGCCGAATTTTTCGCATTTAAACTGTTCTCATATGAGCCCTATAATTCGTTCTGTTACGTATGCAATATTGCCAGACCTTGGTTTGCCTGTGATCAAAGCGATGAAGGCGTTTTTCTCGAGGATTTGGAGAGTTTAACAGTTGTTTAAAAAACACTTTCCGTGTCTAATTTTGTTTATATAAGCATATTAAGATAAAGCAATCTTCGGCTAAGCCTTTACACATTCTGCCGGCAGAATTTCGAGCATAATAGGGCCTCAGGAGCAGAATATATGATTGGGGCATAATACGAGCAGAATAGGCCATTTTTGGCCATTTTGCATATTCTGGGGCCTGGGAACGAGTCTGAGAGGGAGCTGGGCACGCACATCTGAGCAAAACAAGATGGCGGAACCAAACTCGCAACCGGTAGAAGTCACTGACCACTGGTTCATGGTTGTCCCAGACTCTTTTTACAAGTTATTACCCATGTTAGTTTTAAGGATTAAATAATAAATGCGGATATGTTGGGTTAGCCTCACCCTGGAAGGGCGATATAATGTCTTATTTATCATGTTTGAGTATTTTGAACCCAGGAATATCGATTTTTACAGAAGCATAATTCGAGCATAATAAGAACTTTTGGAGCATAATCTCGAGCAGAATAGCCTTTTTTGGAGGCAATTCTTTTGAGCAGAATAGCCTTTTTTTCGAGCAGAATGTGTAAAGGCCTACCTTCGGCACAAAAATACAGCGTTAAATGTAAATGGCAAAATGTCACAGTATTAACACCGGCCGGCTAGCTAAGCATTAACAAAATATAGCGTTGTTCCCGCCTTTCGAACGACGTGGTCTGCAATCGCGCTGGATGACATAAGAACTAGACGGATTTTAAGAGAAAATTAAGGCGGACTGCAAGCAGTCTATATATTGAACAGCCCCCGAAATGATCCTAAACCCTGAAATGATCGAAGGCATGCAGTTTTAACATAACTCGGGCTATAATCACCTAAGTAGTAAAATTATTAATAATAGAAAATGTTATGTTTCTTGATGACGCGATCAGTCGCGGTTCATGGTGTTACTAAAAATGTTCAAAGTGTAAGCCCAAATTAATGTCATTAAAGAATACGGGCAAGTGAAGATTATTGTGCATTTTGCTCGATCCATAGTTCTAGGATATCATTCCATTCCTAAAATTAATTGGGGATCATTTCGGGGACGACTTGATAAGAAATGGGGATCATTTCGGGGTCGATTTGTGGATCATTTCGGGGCCGGGATCATCTCGGGGGCTGTACAGACCTTTCCAGACATTTTTTACCTAAGTAAAATGAAAATCCACGATCCTCGGCAATTTTTAGCAAATTTACCCTGGGTATAAGTCTGTGGTGACAGTAATCACCCATTGTGTTTCCCTCAACAAAGGGGACGCGAAATGCAAATATCAGTAATGAATTAAAAAAGGCAATGTCACGCTATTTTCTATCCCTGATAATGGTAAAAAAATCTTCAGAACGTAACCCGGTTCAAAGAGTTTAAGGTGATTCCATAGTAAAAGAACCTAACATAGATTGTAGCTAAAACTTGGTGCACTAATGTAACAAGTCAAGAAGATGATAAAAAAGTAATAAAAAATGGGGGTCACGGTGCTCGTTTTGACGTCACAATGCTGACAAATACGGATTTAGGACCCTTTTACAAAAACCGCGGGCAGCCCAAAACTAGGCAAAAAGGAGAGATTTTTTCGATGATGCATGTGGCATCACACAGAATTTGACTTTAATGTATTGTTTATCCACTTACGTACCAGAAAAATGACTTTTAATGCCCTTGTTTTTACTCTACGCTCCAAAGTAGAATTAAATTGGACGCGCGCTTTTCGACCCGTGATGGCTCAATCCGTACAATTTAGTAAAATTGCCAAAAAACTGAACATAGATTTGTGCCAATTTTTTCTCATCGAAAGGAAGCACTGTCTTTATTAAAATCATGAAATAAAAAGTGGGGGTCACCGTACTCGTTTTTGCGGTAGAGCTGCAGAAACTGCGTACCAAACGCATTTTCTCCAATTCTTGAGAGAGGACTGGGGCGAGTTTCAAAATAGAATGTATGTGAAAGCGGGAAGAAAGTGTTAAAAAATTCGTTTTTACAGAATTACATCGAGATATCACATTTAGGACACAATGTGATAAAGGAAGTGTTCAAATGAAAATCAAAGTGAGTAAGCACAAGTTAAACATCCACTATCGAGGTTCTCCGAGAGGAGGTCGAACTCAGCAACACGCGTACTGCTTACGTTATGCACATTTCCAACACATTGAGTCTCACCTCGGCAAGAAACAACAGCAAGAAGAAATTCCAATAGAGTTTCTCTTCAGTCAACTTCATTTTAATAATGTTACTTCACATGCTTTTTTTTACGGCGGCCATCTTGTTATGCGCAGTAAGAGATGCGCAGTGCAAAACTAGGGAATAACCTTGACCAGGTTAATTTTTATCAGCGGCCGGACTGAAGACTTCCACAAAGTCGTTCAATGAATGTGGCGCGGTCTTCTTTTTTGTTGTGTTTATTTACCAGTAACGCCTACCATTCGAAGTCGAAGATTGATGGCGTTGACCCTAGCCTCCCACGCAGGCGTTTTTAGGAGGGATGAAAGACGAGCTCCCCTAAAAACGCCTGTGTGGGAGGCTACGTTGACCCCAAAGAGGTCGACTTCTTAAAAGTTTAACTGTGCCACAATTGAGTTAAGAAACTCCATTCAGGTTCCTGCTATATTTGCATACAGAGGCCCGGGGAAACTCGGAAATGGCCTATTTGTTTCATATCTTCTTCTATAGTTCTACATGCAGCAACTTCATTCCCAGGGTTCTCTCCTACCCGTCCCTGCGGATCGAGAGACGGGCAGAAGAGAATCCTGGGAAAGAGGTTGTACATTCTAGTGACTACAGTAATGACTAGCGCAAATAAAGCAATATCCTCGAAACATAGCCCCTTTTTTATCCCTAGAGAGCGGCGGAAATCGAGCCTAAAGTTCAAAAGACTTTTACAATAACTGAGCGAATCCTCGCGCGCTGATTGGTCGAGAGCTATGGTCTATAGAATATAGACCATGGAAACGACGTAACATGTCAAGCAGTGCCGGTTGTTTTGTTTTTGGCAAAAGTTTTCGTAAAAAAATAAACTGTTATTGTGAAAAACAAATCGACCACAATTTTCAATGGTCTACACTCTTATAGACCATAGAAATGACGCCATAAAACGTTCAAAACTTTGCAGTGAAACCACTCGCCTACGGCCAGTGGTTCCACTTGAGTTTTGAACATTTTATGACGTCATTTCTTTGGTCTATAAGAGTGTGGACCATGGAAAATTGTGGTCGATTTGTTAAGTGACCATTTTCCTGCGGTCTTAACCAGTAATTGAACTACATACTGGATACCAGTCTCGTAGCTTAAAGGGCTAAAAGCCAAATGCAAGGCTGATCGGGCAGCTATAATAGACTCAAATTAGGGTATAAATTTTATTGCCCAATATTTCGGTTAGACAATTCGCCACTCTAGAAACAAGAAGGGAACTGGAACCGAATGTGTCCTACAATTGTTTCTGGTAAATCGTTACTGGGGACGCGCCGGTTTGTTGCTATTGGCCAGGGCCTAGTTGTTCGACGGCCGATTAGCGCTAACCCAGGGTCAAATTTTAACCCGGGTCTCTTTTTCTTTTCATCAAAAGCATTTTCTCAGACAATTTTCTCTATTATTTTTAGAGTAGCCAATCATCAAATTGTTGACAAAAAGAATGAAACTGAATTTGCTTTTTAAGCTTTCATAACTGAATTCAAATTTCGAACTAACCCTGGGTTATCTCAACCCAGCTTTGAACAACTCGGCCCAGGTTCTTCGCCTGTCCTTAGTAACAGTCCAAGAGGTCTTTGCGAAAGATAACTCGATCCAGTTTTCCCCTCGTTTCTAAACTGGCGAATACCGCTGACCTTCATTAGGACTATCAAAGCAACGTAGATATAGAATAAAACGGTTACAATATTTAGAATGATACAAAAGAAAAGATTATTAAAAGTGATTGGTTGACTGGGCAGAAACGTGTACACGCCACTTCCATAATCCATAATCCACATCTCCCATAATGCACCTTATAGATCGTTTTCACATGACGTCACGGCGGCCATATTTGTGTACAAAACAATGAATCGGCGGCCATGTTTGTGTACAAAACAATGAATCGGCGGCCATGTTTGTGTACACAAAAAATCCTGTGGGAATTGAACTCTTTTCACGTGTTAAAACTTTCTTTTATTCCAAGCAATTTGCAAAGCTGCTGACCACGTGACTGAAAACTATCTATTTGAATCCCCCCCGCCCCAATTTTTGAGTAACCTTTGTTTTTCATTTCTCCTGGGTATTACAGCCGTCCAAAGATAAATTGAAAACAATGCTCATACAAAACTTTGGGGGCAAATAAAGTGCATTATGGGAGATGTGCAACTGGTGTATAAATGGCTATGTACATGAAAATATAAGGGTTAAGCTTCACTGTAGCGGCACAACCTATAGAGTTCTTTCCCTGTCTGTCTAACTCTGAAAGGACTACCCCGCTTTAGTAGAGTTTATCCTTACCCATCTTAAAAGTCCTTGGACTCCCAAGAAAAGCTATAGTCTCGCCAATAACTTCATTCTCCGCCGCTTCGGTACAATTCTTAAATTAATTTTAATAACAAAATTATGACAAAGCTGCTTATTAGTGTCTAGTAGTTTTGTTCTATATTACAGCTGGAGCCATACTTGATTCCATACTTGAGTCATACTTGATTCCTTCAGGGACTACAATGAAAGGAAAGGAAAAAACGTCAGCTTGCTAGAGGCCCAATTTTGTTTACTGCCTACACTAGTTTCGTCCATCATCATTTTGCGATTATTCTAGCGTTTAAAAAGTATTAAACGTGGTAAAAACAAAAGTTGTTTTGTCCTTAGATCATCAGATTATCCAATATTATGTCGGCCGGCTTAAAATTTGGTCAGCGGTTATTTGAAGCAATTTCCAGGTATTTTTTAATTGTCGACAATTCTTGGACAGGAAGGGACGCTCATCTGCAAAAGGTCATAAGGCTAGACCTGACGTATCATAAAATAGTATCTTCTGGTCATGCCGAGAGGTTACTTACAGAACGCGTCATCGGAGCTACAAACAAGAGAGAAATGACATGGGGTCAATTAAATACAGCGATTTGATTGGTTTATTGAACGGATACAGACACGCGTAGCTTTTGGTTGGCTAAGCGAACGCTCCGGTGAAAAAACTTCATGTCAGAGAACTTGCTAGAAATCAATCGATACTTCACTTTGACGTCATACTGCAACACGATTGACCAATCGAACAATACCTTCTCCATATTAGGTTTTTTTTGGCGGGAAAACGAAGAGTCCATCTTTTGATCTTTTCATGATCATCCTTTGGCCGACAAAACAAATAAGGAACACTTACCGAAACCATTTTCAAGGTCAAGCGAAAATCGCTCTAAATCTTTTACAAGTGCAATTTACAAGTGTATCCATTTTTTTAGGGTCTTAATAGCTACACTTGTAAAATACACTTAAAAAAGTTTTATTAAATTGGCCCTTGTTCTCTCTTGGTAGAGAAAAGCGCATAAGACCAGTGAATTTACTATGATTGTACTTGTAACGAGCCCTAACCCTAGGAATACAGCCACACTTCGCGACGCCATCAACAGGTTTTCTCGCGAAAAGAAGTTTTGACAAACGAGCACAGATATTCCGCACCGATGAGGTGTCACTATCCAGATCTGGGTTAACTACTTTTGATTGGTTGAAAATTCGCTTCATCTAATCAGAAGCCGTACCCATATCTAGGTAGTAACACAGTACGAAATTTTTGCGCTCGGTTCACAGACGTTCGCGGGAAACCGTTGATGGCGTTGCAAAATGTCGGCTCTTTTCTCAGGATAGACCAGTTAGTGAGTAGGGAGTGTTTCTTGTAATATCCTAGACAGCTAAGCCGTCACTCTTCAGGGGAGCTTAACGAGAAAACTGAACGTCGCTTCAAACTGTGGTAATGAAAGGAAATGAAGAGAAACCTGGCTTATGCACAGGCACAACAACCTTTGTTCTTTTTAAACACTGAAATCTGAATTCTNACTATGATTGTACTTGTAACGAGCCCTAACCCTAGGAATACAGCCACACTTCGCGACGCCATCAACAGGTTTTCTCGCGAAAAGAAGTTTTGACAAACGAGCACAGATATTCCGCACCGATGAGGTGTCACTATCCAGATCTGGGTTAACTACTTTTGATTGGTTGAAAATTCGCTTCATCTAATCAGAAGCCGTACCCATATCTAGGTAGTAACACAGTACGAAATTTTTGCGCTCGGTTCACAGACGTTCGCGGGAAACCGTTGATGGCGTTGCAAAATGTCGGCTCTTTTCTCAGGATAGACCAGTTAGTGAGTAGGGAGTGTTTCTTGTAATATCCTAGACAGCTAAGCCGTCACTCTTCAGGGGAGCTTAACGAGAAAACTGAACGTCGCTTCAAACTGTGGTAATGAAAGGAAATGAAGAGAAACCTGGCTTATGCACAGGCACAACAACCTTTGTTCTTTTTAAACACTGAAATCTGAATTCTGAAATATTACCTGAAGTAGTTAAGTGTATTTTGTAAGGAATATATCATTTATCGATGCTCAGATTGCACTAACAAAGGCACGAACATGCGGTGGTCTGCCTGTGGTATATGAGTAGAGAGTTGCGAAAAAATTAAAAGATATAAACGTCTGACAAAGAGAAAAAGAGAACTCCATATACTTTCAGTGAAATTGTAGGATGTAAACGCTCACTTACACATTGATTGGCGGTGGGACATTTTCCTTGAACTCTCCCTCCCAGTTTCCCACGGGCGAGTATCTAGCAACTGCTACCACCTTATTACCAGCCACAGCAGTTGCCATGCCAAGCTCATTAGTCGCCTTCCAGATAAGCTGAGTAAAATGTTCTATAACTGCACCAAGCGTCTTACGTTTGCCAGTATCGTAATTATAATCGACCTCCTCATCATACCATGCCTGCACAATCTCTTCACAGCTCAGACAATCTCCTTGTTCGCCATACGCGCACAATCTCTTAGGAAGAGGTTGGAAAGTGACATAATATAGGTTCTCGCCTTGGTCCTTGTCTCGGGCGGTTGGATCGTGTTCAAACTTTCCACTAGCCGCAAGGTGATCTGCCCAGGCCTGTGCGTCGCTTGTCAACTTTGCCGACCACTTCAGCAAGGGAACGCCGTGAAAAAATCGGAAGTCGTTGTGTGCTTCTAAGCAAGCCTTCTGAAAACCTGGTAATAATAGAGAAAAGCAACAGGTTTTGTTACGAGAACTAGACATATGTTAAAAGTCCTGGCCAATAATATAAAATAGATAGTAGTATAAATAATGATTTGAATGATCGATTTGATTCGTTTCAAGAGGTCTAAAAACTGAGATAATCAGTCGAGATTTACCTCTGAACAAATAAATTTTCAACACATTTTGTACCTGAAGGAGTTTCTCCAGACGGCTCTGTTGGTTTTGGTGTTTTAGTCGGCTTCTCTGTCGGCTTCGGCGTCACTTTCTGCGTGGGTTTTTCGGTCGCAGGCTTCACCGTTTCGGGCTTATTAGTAGGCGATGGGGGCTTGTTACCTTTAACGAATGATATAAGAGTTAAAACTGTCGGCCACCAGTATCAAACTACCCTAGCTGGGTACCAGCAGAGGTTTTTTTCCTCGCGTGCGCCCGGATGACGTTGGATGCTTCGATGTCGGCGGCGAAAGCCTTGACCGAAATCGAAAACCGCGCATGAAACGTCTCTGGCACCCAGGGTAGTGTCATCCTTCTTGATCATGACAAATGACTTTTCGCATTCGACCATTTACAAACTATCAAGCGTTTTCACTCACGTGGCCAGCATCTATGCAAATTCATTGGAACAAAAGAAAGCTTTTACATAAGAAAAGAGTTCAACTCCTAGAGTATTTTCTTGGTATAATATTCAGGTGGCGAAAAGGCCATGACAATATCTTGGCCGTAAAAGCTATTGTTGAAAAGCACTCTTTTTTAAAATTTGTTTTTTTGTAAAGTATTTTCGTCAACGGCTCTTGTCTTTAGTTAATATGGGCCTTCACGCCGCGATAATACGACTGAGCCCGCTGATACACGAGGGAGAGCAGCGGTATAAACCATATATAGTCTGGTGAGTAGCCTTTGTGAACCCCCCTTTAAAAAATCCTGGCTACGCCCCTGGCTTGTGCGTGTTCTTTAAAGCGAGCAGGAGACCTCTGTACCCAGGTTAGTTGACTAGGCTTTATACAACTCACTCATAATACGCCGCTGTATCGATCATGCGGTATCCTGTCCGGAGAGCACATTTGGCGGCAGGTAAAGATTCTCCCTTGACGAGGAAGGTAAACACTCCAAGGCCGAACATTGGCATCTTATAACCATCATTTAACGTGACTTTTTTTAGCAATCCGTCTCCCTCCATTATTTGATTCCTGACAAGGCAGCAGCGTTTCCGTTTGGTTTCGTAGCAAAGAAAGACGGAGGAACGGGATTCTCGGTTTTGGCCGCGCGAGCCTCGAATCACCTGATTTACATACTCGCCAGACAAAAACCGCGGGGAGCATTGTGTTGCGTGACATCTTTAGGAGTCGATTTCAATTGCTGGTTTTCAGTGTCACGCCATTCAAAATAGATCAAAATGAAAATGAAAACCGTTCAATGGATAAAGTCCAAAATCTGGAAAATGAAAGGAGGTGCATATACAAAGACCCTCGCCAAGATTCTGGTCAGAGGAATATTTCGTATACGAGATATCCGAAGAAATGTTTTACCCAGACTTATAGAGCTTTGTATGGAGACGCCATGCTGGTGCTCACCTGGATGAGCTCCAACATGGCGGACGGAAACCAACAGAAACATCTGTTACCGTTTTTTGCTATAAAAGCGTGAATTTATTCTTCGAGAAACTAATAAACATTAAAGTAATACTTTTTCTAATACATGAACTGTTTAGATAGCAAAATTTCCTGAAATAGGCGTCGAAAGGGGTAGGGGATAGGGAAAAAGGGAAAAAGGGAGAGGGGTAGGGGAGACAGGGGAAGAGACGCCTGCTATAAGAACCCCCTTTCATTCATTTCTGCAAACGCTGGCGTCCACAAATTCATTTGTCTGAGCCGTAATGAGTAACTTATTGGCGTGTATCCTGGAGTGTATTAGTATGAGAGACAAACATGACCAAGGCATCAAGAAAATGTGTTCTACTGGCATAAGCTTTGGAAGATCAAAATTAATCCAATCATGTAGCAACTTCACGATATGCCCCGTACTTGTGATTGGTCACGTATTGACAGTGACATTATCGGATTAGTTGAGAAAATGGTGGGCGGATTACAAAAGCACCGGCTCTTTTAGAAGGCGCTCCCTTCCCTTTCCCCTCTTTCGTGCTTTTCTCCCTCCCCCTCTCCCTCCCCTTTTTGCGCCTGCCACGCAGGCTAGAAATAAGCCATTTTTTAACCTACATGACAGCTCTCTTGGCCGTCATGTAAATGCCACGTCACGCAAAAGCTTAGAAATTCAAGCGTACCCTATCACAAAACCAAGAACCCTTCAGAACGTAACCCGGTTCAAAGAGTTTAACCAGGTTAATTTTTATCAGCGGCCGGACTGAAGACTTCCACAAAGTCGTTCAATGAATGTCGCGCGGTCTTTTTGTTGTTGTTGTTGTTTTTTTTTTTTTCGCTCGCTTGGGTCGCTTATAACGTTCTCCTAAGACCGACTAGCAAAATTTATCACCATTTATTTATTTATTTATTTATTTACCAGTAACGCCTACCCTTCGAAGCCGAAGACGGATGGCGTTGACCCCGTATTACTGATAAAAAGAGGTTGACTTCTTAAAAGTTTAACTGTGCCACAATTGAATTAAGAAAGTCAATTCAGGTTCTTGCTTCATTTGCATACAGAGGCCCGGGGGAACTCGGAAATGGCCTACTTGTTTCATAGTGTCTTCCGTAACTCTACATGCAGCAACCTAGTTCCCAGGGTTCTCTCCTACCTGTTCCTGCGGAGCGAGAGACGGGCAGAAGAGAATCCTGGGAAAGAGGTTGTACGTTCAGGAGTCGGTAATGTGTGCTTCAGTTCATAATTGTGACTAGTGACTAAGTAATGACTAACGCAAAGAAAGCAATATCCTCGATACATAGACCCTTTTTTTATCCCAGACGTGAATTCACTAGATCTAAGACACCTCCCCCCCCCCCCCCCCC